CGGCGTGCGGCCGCTGAAATGGGAGCGAGCTCGCGGCCCCCGAGGCGGAGCTGGACATGAATACACAGAGAGGGTCAGCGTGGCGGGTTTAAGAGGGGGGGGGGGTTTAGGAGGAAGAAGCTTCGGGTGTCGGGGAGCGAAGTTCAGGGTTAAAATCGTCACAAGCTTTCCCTTCATTTCCTGCACATGGGGGGTCGTTGTATCAGGACTCGTATCGGGACCCGTTGTGTTGGGACTCGTTGTATCGGGACCCGTTGTATCGGGACCCGTTGTGTTGGGACTCGTTGTATCGGGACCCGTTGTATCGGGACCCGTTGTGTTGGGACCCGTTGTGTAGGGACCCGTTGTGTCGGGACTCGTTGTATCGGGACCCGTTGTGTTGTGACCCGTTGTATCGGGACCCGTTGTGTTGGGACTCGTTGTATTGGGACCCGTTGTTCGGGACTCGTTGTATCAGGACCAGTTGTGTCGGGACCCGTTGTATTGTGACCAGTTGTGTCGGGACCCGTTGTGTAGGGACCCGTTGTGTCGGGACTCGTTGTATCGGGACCCGTTGTGTTGTGACCCGTTGTATCGGGACCCGTTGTGTTGGGACTCGTTGTATGGGGACTCGTTGTATCAGGACTCGTTGTATGGGGACCCGTTGTGTTGGGACTCGTTGTATCGGGACCCGTTGTTCGGGACTCGTTGTATCAGGACTCGTTGTATGGGGACTCGTTGTATCGGGACCCGTTGTGTTGAGACTCGTTTTATCGGGACTCGTTGTATCGGGACCCGTTGTGTTAGGACTCGTTGTATCGGGACCCCGTTGTATCAGGACCCGTTGTAATCGGGACTCTTTGTGTTGGGACCCGTTGTATTGGGACCCGTTGTGTTGGGACTCGTTTTATCGGGACTCGTTGTATCGGGACCCGTTGTGTCGGGACTCGTTGTATCGGGACCCGTTGTATCGGGACCCGTTGTGTTGGGACCCGTTGTATCGGAACCCGTTGTTCGGGACTCGTTGTATCAGGACTCGTTGTATGGGGACTCGTTGTATCGGGACCCGTTGTGTTGGGACTCGTTGTAATCGGGACTCGTTGTGTTGGGACCCGTTGTATCGGGACCCGTTGTATCAGGACCCGTTGTAATCGGGACTCGTTGTGTTGGGACCCGTTGTATCAGGACCCGTTGTAATCGGGACCCGTTGTGTTGGGACCCGTTGTATCGGGACCCGTTGTATCAGGACCCGTTGTAATCGGGACTCGTTGTGTTGGGACCCGTTGTATCAGGACTCGTTGTATCAGGACTCGTTGTAATCGGGACCCGTTGGCGGGCTGCACAGCTGCATTCCTCAGTGAACAGAGGACAAGAAGTCGTGCTTTTAAAGTACAAAAGGATGAAACGTCGACTGGCTTTTTAAAGTTCTTTTCAAAGACGTTTCCCTTCTATCGGGCTGAATTCCAGCAAAAGTGACTCGGAGGTGTTCTTTGGGCGAGCAGCGCTGCCTCGCATACCAGTTCTTCTGATCCTCGAGCCAACGAGAAGCTTCTGAGCAGCTCGGAAAATGTGAAGCCACCCGATAAAATTCACCCCTGTCAGTTACAGCCGAAGAAATACCGCGTCGCCTTGTCCTTACTTTACTTTTCCTGAGGGGAATCTCAACCGCAATTTGACATTCAAACCCTCGCGCTCTACGTTCCTAAACTTAAATTCATAAATCAACAAACGTACCTGTCCAGGTCTATGCGATGGAAGTACTTTGTAATGGTCGTGGTTTGGGTTAAAATAAGTATGATTATCACGTGACTGGCGTGTGACCAGCGATCTCCTGAGTGAAAGTCTGTTTAACACGAGACTTTATATCGCAGACTTTATATCTAAAGCCTCTCCTCTGGAGACACAGGTGTTGTGAAGTGCATCAGGTGAGAGAAGTATGTTGGAAGAAATGACAAATCCCATAAAGGAGCGACTGTCAATCGAAATCAAATTCACTATTAAGCTTTGTGAGTCACGCAGGATGAACTCGCACTCTTTGAGTTTCTAGTTCAAGAGAGACGTTATTTCACTTCAGCTCTTGTATAATGTAATATGTGGAAATGAGTTCAAAAATATGTGTATACTTAATTAAAATGAAGAGAATATAAATGGAATAAAGAGGACGGCGTGAATAAAATATAAAGAAGATCGTACGTTCAGACGCTCCGTCTATTGTACCACTGGGTCATTACGCAATGAAAGGAAGAGACGGCGAGATGAGATGTACCTCGCGTCATCCCTCAGGACGATGAGGCAAGGCAGGAAGGACGAAGAGGAGGAGACGGAGGCAGAGACAGAGAGAGACAGGTGAGGTTAGATGGTGGAAACACACTTCTGATATGTGGAGATTCACTTAGAGAGGAAGGAGGAGATGCTGAACGAGCGGAGATGGAGAGAGGAGAAACAAGCAAGAGATGTTAAAGATGGAGACAAGACGAGAGAAGAAAAGACACACAGAGGAGGACAGACAAGGACAGACGGACCAATGAAAGAATGAAAGAAAGGGAAGGTGGCAAGAGAGGAGAGGTGAGCACATGGCAGAGGAGATAGACAAGGGGTGTGTGTGTGTGTGTGTGTGTGTGTGTGTTGGGGGGTAGGATGGAGGAGGAGCAGGGGGGGGGGGGGCATCCCGTAGGGTTAATTACATCTCTGTTCTCTGTCAGTGCGGCTCTCTCCTCCGCGATTTGAGTCCCTGCTGCAGGCTGACAAGCCACACACACACACACACACATGCACACGCACACTCATGTGCACACACACACACACTCTCATAAACAAATTAACACACACACTCAAATAGCATGACACACAAACAGAAAGGTTCTCTGTGTCCTCCTTTATGTCTTTCTGTCACTTTGTCTCTCTCTCACGCGCGCACACACACACACACACACACACACACATGCACGCACACACACACACACACACACACACACACTCGGTCCCAGCGGACCCTGAGTTGTTCCATGCAGAGTTATACATGAAGAAGAGGCCCCGCACTCGTAATAGCTGTTAATTTAGCATAAATCATGCATGCGTGACCCACATGTAGATCACGCATGTCAGCAGCTCCGTCTTCTTCTTCTCTGCAACAAACAGCAGCAGCTTCCTTCTTCCTTCTTTTCGACTCTTTCCAGTATTTTGCCCTCTGCTTTTCATGAATAAAATGAAATACATTGAGCTGCGTGTTTGGTGCGTGCACGTGATAAGAGGACCTGCCGCCGATCTCGTGTTGTACTTGTGGAATGTCGTGACACACGAGCGTGATAACTGCATTGCATTATGGTCCGTGGAAGCGCTTCAGTAGATTACATCCCATATGACTGGAGAACAGTATCTCAGAACCTTCCAACCTGAAGGTCGAGTGAGATCAGCTGTTCTTATGTAAGAATAAAACGTCTTTTAACTGAACTCGGTGCCGGAGGAACGTTTCATCTTGGAATGCAGATCGCCGCAGAGGAGCTCCAGGGGACACGGAGGCTCTCACAGCAAAGGTCAAACTGACTTGAGGTGGAGTTGCCTCCTTTGACCTCCGGGAGCCTGGACAGTAAAACCTTCCTCAACACGACACCTGATTGTGCAGATGTTTTGGGCTGATGAAAAGGAATCTCCACGACTTCAACGTGTCTGCATTTCAGCATCAAACGCTTTACGCCTGACAGAGAAACTGGGAAAGGCAATTGTTCCGTGTTTTGATGCGTTTTTTTCCTCCCCTCAGACATCAAAAGGAAAGAACAACTACCAGCTCCGAGCCACAGCAGTTGTCTCCTTGATTCACTTCTCCAAAGGAAAGTTGGTGAAACATCAAAGTGTCTCCTGGGAAGTCTGAAGATCCTCGTCTTCAGTGAAGGAGCCTTCTGCTCAAACCACACTGCGGGTCGTCTTTAATCCTCCTGACAAATCGCTGAATCTCCCCCGTTGTTTTGCACCTCTGCGGCTGGATTCCCTCCGAGGCGCGGCCGCCTTTATTAACCAGCTACGCCGTAATTAGCTAACGGGATCGTTTTAACCACCGTCCAAGAACAGAATCGCCCGCGGGAAGACAAACGTGCACTGGCGTGACAGACTCGGGGAGGAGTGCACACGTCGGGTGTGATTCGATGTTGCGTGCATGTGTGGTGCAGCAGCGTCTGTTGTGCGCGTGCACGTGTCCCTCGCTCTCCCGCTCTGCCCTAATTAACGCGTCTTCTCACAAGACTTTCTCTGGAATATGAAACTATTTTACCTGATGATGCAAACAGTTGGAAACAGCGCCGGGGGTTTGTGCCCCGCCTCCTCGCCTCCTTGCCTCCTCGCCTCCTTGCCTCCTCGCCTCCTCGCCAGACACTTTCTCTTCGCTAATGTACGCCGGCACTTTACTTGTGGTTTTTATATCCGTGTATTTTAGCGGCGTTGCTTCGGCCAAAAGGCTTATTTTGCTGGAGGAAATGTGTGTGTGTGTGTGTGTGTGTGTGTGTGTGTGTGTGTGTGTAAGCAAAAGCCTTTGTACTGTGTGATGAAAAGCCGCAACTCGGCAATGATGTTCCTGCGGCACACACACACACACACACACACATTTTCACTCGTTCCCACGCAGACACACACAAGCCTCAGTTAAGTAAGTTAAATCTTGCAAACGGGGGCAAGAAGGAGACGAAGAGGCCGGGAGGACAAACATGCAAATGTCAGCCATTGAGCTTCGGAGAAACGATTAAAAGCCTCAAACCTGTGGCTCCTCCTGTGTGCCTCCACCCGGAGCCCATGTGCACCCACGCAGAGCCCACTGGAAACACACCCCCAATAAGAAAAGCACAATAACGCACAACAGACAAATCGACAAATCATCCCGACGGAGCGGCACAAGTCGATGTGACCGGAGAGGGACCGCGGTGAAAGATGGCCGCTCCGGGCCGGGTCACAATGAAAGGAACTTAAAATTGATTTCCTCCCCCTCCCTCCCCCCACCTCCCCCTCCCTCCCTCCCTCCCCCCCTCTGTCTGCAGCGCGGTGCATCCACTTCTCCCAGGAGCCCTCGGACCAGTCGGTGGTGCTGGGAGAGCGGGTGGTGCTGTCCTGCGTGGTCTTCAACTACAGCGGCATCGTCCAGTGGACCAAGGACGGCCTGGCCCTCGGCGTGGGAGAGGGTCTCCGAGGTGAGGGACGGGGGGGGTGAAGGAAAGGAGGGGAATAACTCGGCTCACGGTTTCGGTTCAGCTGTGGCTGTAAGAGCCGCGACGAAAGCTGCTGCGGTTGAGAAGCGTAGTTCCTGAACATTAAGGGAACGAACGGCGAGCCGAGAGGCGTGTGAGGGACAGTCGGGGGGCTAAAATGAGTCCTGTACATCACGGCGAGTTACAGAAAATCCCTCACGCTGCTGACAAATGCAGACACGCGTTCCCATTCACATGTTTAAGCCGACACGCACATCCGGTGTGGGTTTAATGGGAGGATACGGTCAAAGGGCCCGAGAGCAGCGAGGAGCCGGTCAGAGGGAGGAAGGAAAGGTGACGCGTCGTTCACCTCTGACCTTCTGACCCGAACGCCAGGAAACATTCCCAATAAGCTTTTACCATCGAGCTGCTGGTGACATCGTACGAAAAGGATCCTTCAGGCTTTTATCCGGTGAAATGAAAAAAATAAAAAACGAAAAATGATTAAGAAGGACGATCAGGTTGAGAACACAGTCAATGGAAGTCATTAAAATAAGGTTTTGTTAAAATACGCCGGTAGTGAAGCACGAGATGAAGCTAAATATTGAAAACATCATATTCAATATATGCAATGAAATCCGGTTGTTAAACAGCACCCTCCATTGATTAATACTCTGTAGATTCTTTATTCCGTTTCTTTAATGTTTAATCCTTCAGTGGCATCTGACGTCTTTGACGGTTCTCTGGTGTCTCTGCTCCTCCCGTCAATCAAACTGTGACAAGACGGTGACGAACTTTCTGTCTGTGACACTACGAGGACTTTAGGAATATAAAGTGTTTCTACTCAAAACTATTCCCTTTTTTTCCCTGAAAAACTTCATCACACCAAGCGTTTGTTGCTCGTGTGAAACCGTAGTTTTAAATAAATTGCCGCTCACACACACACTGAATAATATGACATGAATCTTGTGTTCAGCTCTAATTCAGGTTCACTAAAGGTCAGCGCCCCCCCCCCCCCCCCTCCCCCCCTCTCTCTTATTTCCAGCTCTTCCGTCTTTCAGACTTTCAGCTCCATCATTACGCTTTATGTATTTTCCAGACCCCCTTTTACTGCTTCTCCCCCCTCCTCCCCCCCTCTCTCTTTATGTGGGTAATGCTCTCTTTGTCCTTGCAGCCTTTTGCAGCACGGACTCTGATGATAAACACGCCGGCGTTTGATAAACACGTTGTCCCTCTCTGTCCGTCTTCCTCTGCTTTCCAGCCATCCGTCACCCCCCCTCCATAATTTATCCTTAAGTTGTCAGCGCTGCCAGTCCTCCCCCGTCCTCCCCCCCTCCTCCCCCCCTCATCCCTGACGGATACCGTCTCAATCTTTTGCTTTTCACGTCCACAACACAAACAGGAGGTCGTGTCACTGAGGAACGTCTGCAGGGTGTTAATGTATTAAAACACACACTCACACACACACACACACACACACACACACACACACACACACAGATTATTTCCCAAATCACGCAGACGTCCGTGTGAATGTGCAATGGAGGAAATACAAAGAACACTCTGAAGTAAGAAGACGTCCACGTTTCTATGCAAATATCTTAACACGCAACATCTCATTACCTGCAGCATCACAGGTGGTCTATTGTTCTTCCTCCTCCTCCTCCTCCTCCTCCTCCTCTTCCTCCTCCTCCTCCCCGGGGCGCTTTCACCTCTGTTGTTGCTATGCTGTGAGGCGCTGGAGTGGATGATGTAATCTGCACTAATACAGCTCTTCCCTCCTTTCTCCCACCGCCCGGCGCTCTGCTCGCCGCGTGGCGGCCCGACGAGCGCCCCCTGGTGGGACGCCGCGCTCAATGACGTCTTCGTCTGCGAAGGCGGGGGCTCAAACCGAGAGAAAAGTGTGGGGGGGGGGGGGGGGGGGTCGCTGTGATTGGGACGGGGTCCGCGTGTCTCACGGGACACCGAGGGGGGGCGTCGTCGTGTTTGTGTCACTGGAACGAACGCTGTCAACGCTAAACGCTAAATCCAGCTTGATGTTGGGATTGTGTTTGAGCTTTTATATCTGATTCATGTGGCAAACAAGACGAGCAGAGGACAGAGACACTGATGGAAAGACGACGAATGGACGCGGACCTCACGCCTGGTGGAATCTTTCTATCCAGATATTTGAGATTTCTCCAACAGCAAAACGATGAAGCACGTTATTTGTGCCGCTCACAGATTTGCCCAAACTGTTTATAATCCACAGAAGACGCTCAGCAACTCTTTTTATCTGTTGTGTGGATTATTCACCAGCCCCTTTAAGTCGCTTTGCTTGTTCCACTTCCAGCTTAAACTTCCACGGCAAGAAGTGATGATTTGGCACAGCTGACAGAGACGATCACATGAAACAATGTTCCCACAGATTCTAAGACATTCTTCATAACAAGAAATATGGTAATGAGGGGAACACGTTGAACGTTGAATCTACGTTTCACATTTTCATCTACTTCTCTTGATGGAAATAAAGTTATATTTTCCTCTCTGTGTTTCCAAACTAAATACCACATTATTTTCCGACGCAGGTCGTCGGCGAAGTTGTTATGATGACTCGTGAATGTTCCTCTCACATCTCCAGTCCACTGCCTTTAAATCACATCCCAGAAGTCCATTTCCTAAAGCCGTCGAGCTTCATGCCCCGTGAGCACACTGTGAACCACAGAGCGTCCTGCTAACGTGCCGCGTGTCTCCTGCAGCGTGGCCGCGGTACCGCGTGCAGCGGGCTCTGGACGTCGGCCAGTACAACCTGGAGATCTCCAACGCCGAGCTGTCCGACGACTCCCTGTACGAGTGTCAGGCCACGGAGGCCGCGCTGCGCTCCAGGAGGGCCAAACTCAACGTGCTCAGTAAGTTTCAACCCGTTAACCGCCGCAAAAGGACGGGAGACGGGAGACGGTCATCAGAGAGCCTCACACTTTAAATCCTACGACATAAATTGAGAGAATCTTTTATTTTAAGTCCGCTCGGTTGGACAATATCTTCTCCGTGTACTCGTACATGCGTGCGTGAGTGCGCGTTTGCATGCACGTGTCCCTTTTTAAGCCGGGACTGGTGTCTCTCCCCTCAGTCCCCCCCGAGGACCCGGTGGTCGACGGGTCCCCGGAGATCCTGCTGATGGCTGGAAATCCGTACAACCTGACCTGCGTGACCCGCGGGGCCAAGCCTGCCGCCCACATCCAGTGGACCAAGGATGGAGTCGCTGTGGAGGGGGCCTACCAGTCCACGGTGACTAACACACACGCACACACGCACACACACACGCACACACACGCACGCACACACACACACACGCACACACACAGGGCACAGCAAACGGCGCGTGTGTGTGTGCAGGCGGCGTTAAACTAACACTAAAAGCAGATCTGTAGAGTTTGTAACACAAACTGTGGTACTTTGAATAACAGCCGCTGTCAGTCTGGTGGTTTGTTTGTTTTTGTTTGTTTGTTTGTTTATGTGCTTTTTGCCGCCGGCAAAAGGGAAACACATTGTGAGCGCCTGAGGCCCGGAGTCCTGCATTAGGGAAATACAGCCAGCAGTGCGAGTCAGCACGAGACTTTCTTGGCTCTTGGTGGACGAAATGATACGAGTCTCTGCGCATGATCACAACTGAATGTTATTTGATGCTATTTGATGCCTTTAAATGCCTACAAATGACAGATTCTGACCTAGTGAACAGTTGATGGCTCCATTTCAGGCTTTGAAATGTGGTCGGAGACGAATAATATAGTATTGATTAATATAGATTTTCAATCACACACACACACAAAAGGGAACTGTGCTTCTGACACTTATATTCTGCACTCATTTCTCCCACATTCATAGTGTTCATACTTCTGTGTATTCTCCCACACACACAAAATGATGCCTACAAGCACACACACACACACACACACACACACACACACTCGTGCTGTCATATGCACACACAGGGAACAACAAACACTGACTCACACTCGGATGTTTTTACATCTCTCGCAGACAGTTTTATGCCCCACACACCTGCTCATGCATATTACATGCTGCTCTTACGTTATTGCCTTACTGACCACACGGAGGCTGCGAACACTCAGCTGCATTGAAAAGCACCTCCAGAATCAGCCAGGATGGATTTTCCTATTTCGCAGAAAAAAACACTTATACTTTATTGTTCTATGCCAAAAATTATTGTAACTATTGAGTTTTCCATCAACGATTTTCCGAATTTCTAAAATAAGGATCTCCTCATAATCTATATGATGTCAAACTGTGGAAACGTCGAATGCAAATTCCCACCAAATCAATTCTGTCTCAACAGCAAGAACCTCATGAATTATGATGAACATTTCCACAAAACTCCCTTTCACTTTCCAATATGTCTAAACTCTTTGATTAGATTATTGTTTCTATTTCCATGTTATGCTTTATAAACGTCTCTTGGGCTCCTTTCATGACCCTCCTCGCTCTCGTTTCTCCTCCCTGCTCTTCGTTCTCAATTCATTCTTCCTCGTTCTTCGTCCCTCCTCCTCCTCCTCCTCCTCCTCCTCTTTGATCTTTCTCCGTCTTGCTCCCCACCCTAAACTCTGCCGTCTCCTGATCTCGCTCCCCTTCTCTTTGCCGAACAGGGAAGTGTTGCCGGACCGGAAGCGAGTGACGACCCGGAGCTACCTGCCCATCTCGTCGGTGGACACCGACAGCAGCCGAAACTTCACCTGCGTGGCCAGAAACCCGGCGGTGCCGACGGGCAAACGGGCCACCGTGACCCTCAACGTCCACCGTGAGTTCACGGACGACACGTTTCACCAGGCTGGCTTCAGGGTTGATTCTGGCCGTTTGCATTGATTCTGCTTTGTAGTCTTTGGGGGTTATTTTGTCAAGTTCATTTTCTTCCACATCTGGAAAAGACACTTTTTGTGCTGTGAGATCTTAATTGTTTCCCTGGAGAAATAAGCAATGATGCTCACGAGCAAACCGCTGTTTGAATTTTCCATCAAGGAGATTGATGTGTTGTTCCAGCCGGTGTCGTTGGTAATTACTGGGAGAATAGCTGCAGTAGTGGAACCAGAGCTGTGTTTGCAGGGTTTTATAATACCAGATTTTATTGTGAAATGCATCGTTGGTTTAGACTTATTTGTGTGGGAAATCAATCCTCTTGCTGCTTGAAACCGCTGAAACACAACAGTGATTCAGTTCCTCTTCGGTTGTTCATCAAATCTGTTCCCCCCCCCCCCGTGTAGACCCTCCCACGGGGACCCTGTCCATCGAACCTCGCTCCGTCCTGGAGGGCGAGAGGGTCACCTTCACCTGTCAGGCCACAGGGAACCCTCCCATCATTGGCTTCAGGTCTGGATCACATTTTACCAGAATTTCCCTCTGAAGGTTTACGATCCGTTCTATCGTTGTTATTAATGATCTGCAGTCAACTCCTCGTTGCTTCATCACACGTCCAATGTTACACAATGTGACGTGGCATTGCATTACAATCCTACATCATATCAAGTGTAATTAACTGTAATTACTTCATTCCGTCCTTTGTTTAAATAAAACTAAATAATTTGCCATTTGTACCTTAGTTGTATCCGCTAACATTGCGACGCACAACAAGGTCAACGGGTGCCACGTAGCTGAGAAACCGCTGGCTCGCTAACATTAGCGTAGCTCACGCGTAGCTTGTTGCTCTTTTCCAGCACAGCACTATTATTCGTTAAACATCTCCCCTTTGTACTGTAACATGTTTATTCTTGGCTAAAATGAACCCTGTCATCATGCATTTGTATCATGATCATTAGTACGCAAAGGTTAGCTGTGGTTTAGTTGTATATGGATCATGTGGTGGGTTTTTGATCATGGTCATCGTTTGCAGACCAACTTCAGGGGCAAGATTACAATTCTGTTACCAACAGATTTTCCTCCTTATATTCTAATCTGCCTTTAACCTCCGTCATGAATCATGAATTTTAAATTTGGTTCGCAGGACAGAATTAATAACAGTATTAAACAGTTAAACAATTAAACACTGACTTTATTCTTAAGTGACGGCCCTGAAGCACACTAATCGTTAAATGCTGGACTTAAACCCGGTGGTTTTAATCCGAGGTTTGAGACTCCTCCGGAGGGTCCCGGTGTGGGAGCACTGCCAGGCACTTCGGCACTAAGCCTATTGAGTGTATATTAAAATGCCATCTAATGGCAGATGTGCAATATGCTTCTGTGAGTTTTTGAGCTATAAATCCGGATAACAGAAATGAAAAGAAATTCCTTTTTCCTGCTGGTAATCTTACCCTCAGGTTTCTACATGGAGGATTTTTAAACTTTAGTTTAATAGCTCCAAACGGTGATATAAAACCACTAAAAGGGGAAATGCATCGTTTGGCTCGCCACCAAATAACCATCGACTGACAATGATTTGAAAAGCCTGAAAACTGACCACGAAAGGTCGGGTGACCTGCGTCTCCGTCAGGTGGGCAAAGGGCGGCGTGCTGCTGGAGGGCGCCCGGGAAAGCGTGTTCGTCACCACGGCGGATCACTCCTTCTTCACCGAGCCCGTCTCCTGCCAGGTCTTCAACGTCGTGGGAAGCACCAACGTCAGCATCCTGGTGGACGTGCACTGTGAGTACGAACCCCCCTCAGCTGGGCGGCGCTGCAGTGATTTTACTGCTGGATTTGTTTGTAGGACTCAAGTCTCTGGTCCATTGACCTGCGTCTGCGTGGAGGGACTCTCTAATTCTCAGACTCTCTCTCAGTTGGACCGATACTGGTAGTGGAGCCGAGGCCGGTCACGGTAGACGTGGACTCTGACGTCACTCTGAACTGCAAGTGGTCTGGGAACCCCCCTCTCACCCTGACCTGGACCAAGAAGGGCTCCAGCATGGTGAGAACCAACCACCGATCCTTTTAGAATCCTGCCTGATTTACAAATCAACATGTTGGAGTGGATCCCATGTCGAGAACTACTGTCAGATCCCTCAGAAAACCCAATATCCAAAACTAGTTCCCATGAACCATGAACCATGCTCAGTTGTGTTACAGCACATCGTAAGAAGCGAGACTCCGTCTTCATATCTTATATATTTTATTCATATAACAAGTTTAGAAAAGCTCTGATGGAGCCTGCGGAGTAAATCAACATGTTTCATGAATTAAACATGGATCTCCCTCCTTCTTCTTCTGTGGTCCGTCTCCAACCACACTCACACGTCTGCTGTCCTGGTCCTCCTGCGTCCTTCTGCATGTTCCTGTGCGTCCAGGTGCTCAGCAACAACAACCAGCTGTACCTGAAGTCGGTGAGCCAGGCCGACGCAGGCCAGTACGTCTGCAAGGCCATCGTGCCCCGGATCGGCGTGGGAGAGACGGAGGTCACGCTCACCGTCAACGGTCAGTTGCTATCGACTCACTCGCGAGATGCACCTCAGCTGAAGGTGTTTATGAGAAAAGGTGAAAACAGAAAACAGATCTTCTTCTTCTTCACGGGAAAAGCCCGGTGTCAAACACCTGAACAATGAACACGCGTGATGCGTTTGTTTAATCTGTAATTGTTCTACACGTCATGCGTGTTTCTGCGCCAGATGTAGAGAGTAGAGTACGATACGGTCACGCAGCCTGAGTCACTGAAGCCTGCTGCTAATTATTCATCTCCAAACGGGCCCCGAGCCGACATTTCAATGTCAGAACTCTTCCCCCCCCGAGAGACCGGATTTAACTCAATGGATCAAAACGGATTCACCAAGAACACAATGACGAAAGAGCGAGTTCACAAATGCTCCTTAAATGTCCGCCGGCTGCCACAGCGTGACGCTCGTCGGCACGTCCTTCAGCGCCGTGGTGACCGACGGTCTGATCCTAAAGGAGCCGCTTTCTGTTAGCCGATGCACACGGGAGGAACCAGGAGGGATTTTAATTGTACCACAGTCATATATTTGTCAGTCAGACCTCCTCTAATTTTACCTAAAAGGGACATGAGTTGATTTAATCTGAGGGCGTCATAAAATGTAAGTGTACCTCCAAACCCTTCCGATTGGTTGTAGTAATCCCTGTTTGTCTCTGTGTCCTTCCCCCCTTTCTCTCTCTGCTCATCCTCCTCCCTCGCTCAGGCCCCCCCATCATCTCCAGCGACCCCGTCCAGTACTCCGTCAGAGGGGAGCGAGGCGAGATCAAGTGCTACATCGCCAGCACCCCCCCGCCCGATAAGATCGTGAGTCCGTCCTTTGGTGCTCGACCTTTTCAGATGGCATCGGCCTCAAAACGGGATCCTGATCACAGAATCTCCTCGTTCGCCCTGAAACACGAAGCACCGTTTCCCTCCTCCGCTCGTGTTGGGAGCTCACGGCTCGGGGATGGGGGGGGTGAGGGGGGGTGGCATTGTTCTCGGGGGACAATCTGTTCCTCGTCTGCGGTGGAAGGTGCGACTCATCAAGAACAGCTGCTGGAGTGTCTGGTGGAAACGAGGAGACGCAGCACTGAGACGTTGGGGGGCCGCTGATTACTTCTAGTAATCATTTTTCAGTCGTCTTGACCATGAAACTGTCTTGATATCTTGATATTAGGAGGACCTGAACCCCCCAGGTGAAACCGTCCCCCTGGTCCCTTTGCAACGGGTCAACCACCTTTTCGCCGTGACAAAGCGTTCACACAGTTTGCTTCACCAGTGATGCAATATCCTCCTAAATGTGCCGTAGCTGCAGAAATATACGCTGTTTTTCTCATTACTGTCCTTTCCTAAAGCTGCCGAGTGCCTTTCTTCATCAATGGAGAGAGTCTGTGCTTTATATAAGTAAAAAAAAAGGTCAAACAAAATACCAAATGCTCACAAATCTTCACAATCGGGGAAAACGTCAAACCGTCTGCGTTTGAAGGCTGGTGGGTGAGAAAAGGTCAAACACGCTGAGTCGGAGGGGGGAGAGATGGGGGAGAATACAATTCTTTACCTCCCAGCGTCAATTATCCAATCGTGCAGTGGCAACATGACAGAAATCAGAGGTGTTGGGAGGCTTCGGCCCCCCGCTGCCCTGCAGAGCGCTCAGGGCCTCTAATGTGATACGACGCTGTAGTCTCGGCTTAATGCAGAGACACGAGGACTTATAAAATATGGAGGACGACTCCGTGTGCATGTGTGCTGATAGAGGCAACGGGAAACTGAGAAAGAGACAGAGAATCCAGACCGAGGTGGCGCGGTACGATCCTTCTGAGAGAAACCGAACGGAGGGATTCTGAGCGGCGACAGAAACGACGCGTCACATCGTCAGAGAGGAAAAGAGACATTTGGGCTTTTGTTTCCACTGATGATCACATTTAAACTAGGTTAAAAGGTACATTAACTTAACATATATGTATATTTCATATTACAATGTTCCATTTTTAATATCCTCAAATTTCTACCTCAGCAGGTTTAAGTAGAAAAACCTTTTTATCGTCTTGTGCGCTTCCTGCACTCCGTGTCGGTCTGAAAACGTTTTTTTTCCAGCCTGAGAACGTTAATTAGGAACATACTGCACCAGGAGAAATGAAATACATATTTACCAAGATGTAGAGAATATCATTTGTTTTTAACATGTGCTTCCTGCCCACATTCGCTTTAGTTTCCTTTAACTTTTAACACCAGCCATCTGTTTGCTGAGTGTTTCCTACTGATTGTATGTGTGTGTGTGTGAGTGAGTGTGTGTGTGTGTGTGTGTGTGAGAGTCGATTGTTTTTCATACTACATATATATAGAGATATCTTATATACACTGTAACAAATTGCTGTAAATTTACGGTGCATTTCTAACGGTATTTTACAGTATGTCATAATAACTGTAACAAACAGTTAAATTTCCATCCCTTGCTTGTAAATTAACGGCCAATGTCATGAATAAACAGTTAAAGCTGTCAATTTACAACAATAGCAGACCACCGTAATTCAACTGCATGTTACATATATTTTATGAAGTGGTGGAAATACACATACAGGTGCAGTGAATCACAATCCATCTACATCTGTTGTAGGTTGATGTATGGAAGCCCATGTCAGCCACTGATAAACAGGTCCTGTAAGTCACCATAATGAGATAGTATCTCATGAGATACGACGATGACTTACAGGACATGACTATATTACTTTAGTTTATTAAGGACATTACTTACAAAATGCTTTAAAACTAGAAAAAGAGCTTCAAAAGCTTGTTAAAGAAAATATACGTAGTAAGTATTTAGTTTGTAAATAGTAAAATAAAATAGATCAAACATTCACAAGCAAAGAGATTTAACAGCAGATTCCTGGTTAAAGTTACTTCAAATAACGGTAGTTTTGTGTTAATTGAGTCCCTCACGTCGGTCGTACAGAAGGACTCTGAATCCTCCTTTGAACGCTGCGTCTCAGGTGTGGGCGTGGAAGGAGAACGTGTGGGAGAAGGAGAAGGGCACCCTGATGGAGAGGTACACCGTGGAGCAGAGCAAGCCTCCGTCCCAGGGCGGGGCCGTGGTCTCCACCCTCACCATCAACAACGTCATGGAGTCTGACTTCCACTCGCCCTACAACTGCACCGCCTGGAACGCCTTCGGACCCGGGACCATGATCATCACCCTGGAGGAGACCGGTATGGAAAAAACTGTCGCGTTGTCGTTAGTTAACGAGTTTATGACCAAGGAGACCATGAATGAAACCATCAGCTGTTTCCCTTTAAATTGGGTTGAAGTCCAGTGGTACCAGGACCAGGACTTGGTACGTCTTTTTGTCTCACAGAGACAGAGAGATGTTTCTGTCCCATGTTGACTCGGTCCCTCAAACCGGATCTCCGCTTGTGCTTCTTTCAGATATTGTCCCGGTGGGAATAATCGCCGGTGGGACGGTGGGCTCCTTCATCCTGCTGCTTCTGGTCCTGCTGGCGCTCGCCTTCTTCCTCTACCGCCAACGCAAAGGCAGTGAGTGTGTGTGTGTGTGTGTGTGTGTGTGTGTGTGTGTGTGTGTGTGTGTGTGTCCATCAGTCTCTCACCCTGTGATTCTGTCTCTCCAGAACAGAACGTGTCCTTTCATTTAAATCAGATGCATTTACGTTCATATAATCTGGCAAACTGCCTTAAAACGCCCGCAGAACTCTTCTTTTCCGTCGTATTTCTATGATAGAAATCACAGACCAGAAGGGCGAGTATTGTTGAGCGCGCTCATGAGCTGGTGAAGACAACGAAGGTGACTTGGCAGAGTCCCCCCGGGGGGGTTTCTGGGGACCAGAGAGTATCTTCTGGTTCAGAGCTGATAACGGCACCAAAGGGAAGATCGCACCTGGAAACAGAGACTCAAACTTTTGGGAGCGAGAACAGATATTGACGTCTGTGTGCTCGGGGTGTAGAGACGGAGATGAGACGTTGGGTTACACGAGGCGTAAAGTCTGGATTCACATTCAGAACGACTCCGATTCCCCTTTGTAGTCTGAGAGCTGTTGACCACATCGGAGCTTCGGCTGGACGCGGGTGAGCAGTTCTTGTGGAGAGCTGAAAAAGGGAAAGACTTTAAAATGTGTATTTATCTTTAGCCAATATTATGAGAAAGTGCTCACACATTGAACTGTTTCATCGGCTCCAACATTCCACAGATTCTATCAAATGAAAGTCTTTCAACGAAATGACATACAACATGTTTAATCTTCACCTCTGTGCACATTCAACTTTCTGCATCTTTATGTTCATGTGACGCCACTAAATTCAGACTCTAAACTGACTCACACGCTAATAAGAGTCACTAAAAATAACCATTCGCCACCACAGTTATGTTTCGTAGCAAGAAATGTCTAAAAGAAGCTGAAATAAATAAAAGATTTACCCTCTTTCTCAGAATATATTCATTTTTCTGCCACTTTTGTCACCACTTTCTGCTCCATCAGAAACTAAGAAGATACATTATTAGTATTTAAATGTTGAGGAGGGTTCACGGTTCACTTACAACCTACAAGACAAAATTTATGCCAAAGGAATTATTTCCTTCATGCTGAATTGTAACAAATAGAAAACGATGAGACAAAACAGCATTAAATAGAAAAGTGTTTGTTGCTCTTTAAAAATGAACCATGTTCACATCTTGACCCAGAACGTGAGCCGAGGTCGTGTTTCTCTTTCAGGCCGCCGGGGCGTCACCCTCGGTAAACCCGACATCAAGGTAGAGACGGTCAACAAGGAGACGCACGGCCTGGAGGAGGAGGCGGCCGACGTCTCCACGGCAACGCGGATGGTCAAGGCCATGTACTCAGTGAGTAGACGCCCGACTGAGTCACCGGGGGGCCGCGGAGAGGAGGCGTACGGGTCAACGGGCTTTGACACACACACACACACACACACACACACAAGGACACACACTCTGCCTTTAACATTGTGTCCTTTTAGTAAAGCGTGGAGCCACCCGGCGTCCCGGGGAATCGAACCGGCGAGCGGGTTCAAAGTTCGGTCCAAAACTCATTTCAAAGCCGCCGAGCGTCTTCTTCCAGTCTCTGAAACTGTGTTTTCCTCCCCCCTCCCTCTCTCTCTCCCTCCTCCTCTCCTCTCTCTCCCTCCCTCCCTCTTTCCGTGTGTGTGTTTCTCCTTTGACGGTTTAGTTTCTGCCCTCTGTTTCCCTCTCTCCCTCCACTCAGCCGTTCAAAGACGACATGGACCTGAAGCAGGACATCCGGAGCGAGAGCGACACCCGGGAGGAGTACGAGCTCAAGGTGAGCCGCCGCCGTGGCGCTTTGGCTCCTTGAAGTGGGATTTGGGTCACGTGTCACCAGCTCCGTGGTCACGTAACCCGTGATAACGCGCCCTGTAGTAATAATATCAAACTAATATTCTCGCCCTCTGATCGCAGGACCCGACCAACGGCTACTACAACGTCCGGGCCACCAGCCACGACGAAGCTCGCCCCCAGTCCCGCGCCGTCCACTACCAGGGCGAGTTCCGCGCCCCCAACCCCAACGCCGGAGCGGCCGGCGCCGCTTCCGGCGGACCGCCGGCGGGCGCCAGCGGTGCCGTTCCCCCCAGCGGAGTGCCGGGCTCCAGGGCGGGCTGCTACGACCCGCGGCCCCCGTCCAGGATGTCCCACGCCACCTACGCCCAGTTCAACACCTTCGCCAGGGCGGCGCAGAGCCAGCAGGCGCCTCCCGTCCCGGCTCTCCAATCGCCAGGCGATTACCCCGGAGACCTGCTGGACAGCACGCCACAGCTGGCCTACGACCCCTACGGGTACCCCTCCCAGTACCCCAGCTACCGCACGGGCTTCGCTCCCACCATGGAGGAAGGTCCGGCCTACGAGATGTATCCGACGGGCCAAGGGCCAGGACCAGGACCAGGACAGGGACCGGGCCCGGGGCAACAAAGTCCCGAAACCGGTCTGGGGCAGTATGGAACCTCCACTCGCTTCTCATATTCGTCTCCACCCTCTGACTATTCCCAAAGACACACACAGCGGATGCAGACTCATGTTTGAGGAACACATTACATTACATTACATTACATTACAGGTCATTTAGCAGACGCTTTTATCCAAAGCGACTTACATTACACTTTAAACCCATGGCTTTTTCACATTTTCGCCTGGGGAGCAATTAGGGGTTAGGTGTCTTGCTCAGGGACACTTCGACATGGAACATGGGGCAGCCTGGAATTGAACCTACAACCTTGTGCTTCCCAGCACACCTTCTCTAACCCCTGCGCCACGACGACCCCACGCACACGCACACGCACACACGCACACGCACACGCACGCACACACACACACACTTTGACTGGCGTTTTGCAGTTGCAGTACTTATAACGCTAAAGAACCTGAATATATCAAATACCCACTGTTCTTTTTCTCCATGGCGTCCGGTGCTCGGCGCCGCGTTCGTCTCTCTGGACCAATGAGAACGAGTCAGCAGCTCCTCGCGTGATTCAGCAGCAACACGAGCAAAAAGTGCAGAGCGACTGCAGACTTTGAGTTTGTGCTCCGACAAAAGCGACGGCGAGAACCACAATCGAGAGCGCAGAGACTGAAGAGCAGACGGGCACTTTGAAGGAGGAACCGGAGGAACCGACTCTTCACGTCCATCACATCTCTGTAAATAAGCGCAAATGGAGATTTGGCTGATTTGGGAGTTATTTCCTTGTAGAAGCGTGATGCGGCGCAGTGACATGCAGCAGTGTAATACACATGTTTATGCATTTTCTGACTGTTGCAAAACAAAAACAACACGTACACGTCTTTAAAGACTCACTGGTTTCGATGTATTGCAGCAACGCGGCAGATTGGACCATGAATATATTCGGACCAGAGTGCCGATGCTTCTGTGCCAAACAACCTATTGAACAATGTGTTCTTTTGTAAAGAGCGGATGAGGATGGGGGGGGTCTGGACTCAGAGGTTTTGTAGGAGTCTCGCGTGAGAGGGAAGGAGGAGGAGGAGCAGTGGTAGCAGACGTCCCTCTACGCTCGCTCTCCTCCTCCTGACTCACTTTGAAGCGTTTCTAGACTTCATCTTTCACTCGAGGTCGACGCTGTAAACTGTATTTGTGATACGAGGTTTTGGCCGCAGCGCTTTTTCATTCTGGCAGTTTGTACAAAGAGAAACTTCCCTCGAGTGTCCAGAAGGACGTGCGTCTCTCACTTTGTTTGTTTTCTCTCCATATTTATACCGAAACGTCTGGAAAAGAAATGTCCTTGAGAAACATTTGATAGTATTTTTATAAGGAGTTGTGGACCAAAGGTTCAGCGTTTTGGGGGGAACTCACGTTTTAATGTGTACGCGGCCACGTGATCGTTATTGGAAACGTTGTGAGTTTCCTTAAGAAACGAGAAAGAGGCGACGGATGAATCTTTTAAAGCTGATGTCTAAAAATTAGAAGAATTTAGAAGAGCTTCATTCCAAAATGATAAATATGCAGCAGAGCCAAATCCTGCTGGATGGACGTCTGCGTCTTTGGCTTCCCGTCTCCGGACTGGACGGCCTTTTCTTTCACACGTCGGGCGACGTTCAGATCGATGGAGGCGGAGCGGCCGCTGGCTTTGAGCCTCGTGGAGGCCGACGCGTCAGCGTGGAGGTGCAGAGGCTTCTGTTCCGCTCACACGCTACTTTGTTTACTGGTTTGTTCCCTGCAGCAGAAAAAGCTGCTGGTATTTCGTGTCTGAGATTCGTCCACCGTGCTGAGTCAGCGTGGGATTGACCTTTAACCCCACAGGCTCGTCACCATCAGCGTGTTGCTACTGACCTCTGACCTCTACTTGTGGAGAGAAGAACCCGTTTAAGTTGATTTGGTCATCAAAGCGTTTGGTTCTGCAAGCTATTACCTCGTCACGAGCTTCTTACAGAGCTTCTGTCACCTGACTGTCGCCATAACTCTGTGTAGAATGAGTCACTTGGACACGGAGGAGGTCCTGAGGCCGTCCAGGTACCAAGAAGAGGCCTTCAACCCTTCAGGGTGTCTGAAAGGGGGACGTGAAGATTTGGATCAGTGGTGAAAAAGGTCTGAACCTGAGAACAGAAACATTAAACCGTTATTTCAGGTCACTTTCTCTCTGCATGTGAGCCTCAGATGCAGTTTGATGGACTTTACTCGCCACCAGCTTCCACATCAAGAGGCTCAACCTTCTTTCCATGAAACAGAAACAGATAAAATACCGTTCTCCCAAACGTTCCCCAAGCTGATCAAATGGAGTCTGTATAACACGCTCAGCGTGCATCAATGTCTGTTACAGAATATACAGCTTTATGTTGTATATTCTGTAATATTCAGGGACATGAGTCTCGGAGCCAGTACTGGCCGAGCCGGGGTCAGAGGACTGAGTCGGGGAACGGCAACGGGAGATCGCTGCGGCGGCCCAGCGGCAGGTGTTTCCTCCCCAGTGGAAGAAAGGACTGTGGTCAAACGTGTGTGGTGGAAATATAAGATCAGTATTAATCAACACTGAGACTCCTCGTAATCAACTGAGCCGACAAACACAAATTACGTATGAAATTTAAAGACAGGAAATGATTCCATCAGTTAAATTCATCTTTACAAGGTAACTTTGTTTATCGTCTAGAGAAGTAAAGAAGCGAAGCAACGAGTTTATTCTAATGGACAGAAACACACATTCAAAGTCCTAAAAGTCTGAAGAATTCTAACTTCAAACCTCCTCAAAAGAGCGGGAAAACGTAACGGGCCAAAAAGGCCTTTTCCACCCGATAAACGCTGCGTGTTGACTTGGTTTAGAGGAGTTACACACTGTTGGTGAGGCAGGAGACGGAGGGAAGGAGACGGAGGGCAGGAGACATCGCGTGGCCTTAAGACACCAGCGCAGCTCGTCCCTCGTCCAGCTGCTCTCTGCAACATCTGCACGAGGGAGCAGGATTGATGTTCGGCTTGGCGTCGCTGGGCGTGAGGACGCTGATCGGGACGTCCTGAAGGACTCGTGTTGCTCGTGAGGACGTGGAGGTGTGAGGACGTGTTTCCATCAGCATTTATTCTCCACGCTGCAACTCTTTACTTTATCCCCATGTATTGTTCACAGGTGGATTATGTTCATGTGGATTTACTGCTTTTCCCTTTTATTCGAGGAAAATTCAAATGTCCTTTTAATGTCATTTAACGTTTGTTTGAACATATTGTTTAATTTTCTTTTTTAAATGTATGTAATTATTTTTCCACAGTGTGACAGAAAATAAAAAGACAACAGCAGGAAATGGTCCTTTATTTGTCAGTTATTTATCATCAGGAAACAAAAGAGTCAGATTTTGTATTTCAGACTATTTGTGTTTCATCTCTGGAGTTTGATCCGTATTATTTATTCAGATCAAACGCTGCTGAGCCGACGTGGAAAGTGTGTGTCTGTGTGTGTGTTGTGTGTCTGTGTTGTGTGTGTGTTTTGTCTGTGTTGTGTGTGTGTGTTGTGTCCTGTGTTGTGTTGTGTGTTGTGTGTTGTGTGTTGTGTCTGTGTTGTGTGTGTGTGTGTGTCTGTGTGCGTGTTGTGTGTTGTGTCTGTGTTGTGTGTGTGTGTGTGTCTGTGTGCGTGTTGTGTTGTGTGTGTGTTGTGTGTGCGTTGTGTGTGTGTTGTGTCTGTGTTGTGTGTATGTTTTGTCTGTGTTGTGTGTCTGTGTTGTGTTGTGTGTCTGTGTTGTGTCTGTGTTGTGTGTCTGTGTTGTGTGTGTGTTGTGTGTGTGTTGTGTCTGTGTTGTGTTGTGTCTGTGTTGTGTTGTGTGTCTGTGTTGTGTGTCTGTGTTGTGTGTCTGTGTTGTGTGTGTGGATCGTGACATTTAAATCTCTTGTGTCTTTTTCTCTTCTTCTTTGTCTCTTTGTCTCTTTTCCTGTCACTCTTTTTAATGTGAAATATTGTCCCGATGTCCTCTGGACGTCTTTCCTTCCTGCCGTCCTCGGTTCTCCTCGAGTCTCTTTGTTCTTTCCTCAAATCATCCCGTCCATCCTTCTCTCTCGTTAACACTGTTTCCTTTCCTCTTTGCCTCCTTCTCCTCTCCTCTCCTCCCTCACTTATCTTCTCCACTCTTTCCTTTCCTTAGTCCATCCTCTCTCCTGTCCTCTCCTCTCTCTCCTTAGTCCATCCTCTCTCCTGTCCTCTCCTCCTCTCTCCTCAGTCCATCTCCTTTCCTGAGTCCTCCATCACATCTTCTCCTCTCCTCATGTCTTCTCCTCAGCCTGCAGTCACTTTTCCTCCTCTACTTCTTCTTCTCTCCCTCTCCTGTTTTGCCTCCTATCTCCTACCACCTCCCTTCCTCTCCTCTCCATCTCTCTCTCCCTCTTCTGTGTCCTCCTTTCAAAATGTATCCTCTCCTCCCCTCCTACATCCTCTACAGTCGTCTATTTCCTCTTTTCCTCACCTCTCTCACCCTTTGTCCCCTTTTTTCTCTCCCCATTCCAGCAGTTCTCGTGTCCTTTCTTCTGTCTTATTGGTTGCATTTGATTCTTTTGTTCCCTCGTTTCCTTCTTGACGTCTCCTCACCGCTCCGCTCTTTTTTCCTCCTTCCTCAAATTCACGCATCGCTTCAATTCACCTTTTCATTCTTCAGACCTTCCCCCTCTCTGCAACCATCTTACTCATCTTTGTCTCGTTTCTCCTCACCGTTGACCTCCTCAGTCCTTCTCTCCTCTGAAGGACAGGGGGAGAAAATGAGGACAAAGCGAAAAAGAAATAAGAGACATCTGGAAAAGAAAGAGCAGGACAGAAGACAGTCTCTCGTCTTTACTCAGTGTGTAACAGTGATCATCTTCTCCTCTTTCCTTCTGCTCTCATTGAGGAATAATGTCTGGAACAACCTTCATCACTGCACTCCAGACTCAAGGGAGAAGCCCCCCCCACCACCACCACCTCCACCCACACCTCCACCTCTTTCTCCACCACCAATCACCTCCATCTCATCCCCTTGTTCACATGTGAAGTCGTTCTGTGGATTATGGCTCCTCTCATTTCTTGGCACTGAGATGTATTATCATATTAGTGGAGGATGACGTAATGCGTCTCAGGACATTTGTCCTTCACACACACTCGGTCCCTCCGCAGATGACGTCACTGGCTTTGTGTCCTAAAGGGTTTTTTTCACGTTTGATAACGTCGCCATCTGGTGGCGGTAGAGCGGTATTGATGAATTGAAGGGAAGAAAAGGAGTAAATAGGGTGGAGCGATGATTCCTGATGGAGTCCTGATGGATGTCCTTGGCTGTAGCTGTAGTCACGTGGTCTGTGGGGTCAGAGACGCAACGATGGAGCCACACAGTTCAGGTACGACTCGATTACTAATCAGGGGCCCACCGAGATGTTTGGGAGCTCGTTACCAATGACGCGATTGTTGGAGGAAAGTCATCCATTGTTTCAGATCAATAATGTAAAACTTTTAACTATATTAAGAATTATATTATTAATAATATATCATTTATAATGTAACCTTGATCCTACATGGATTCAGCTGCATGTCCGGTTTCCTCAAATTAAAATATAAACACAAAACTAAAAAGGTGAATATCTGAAGAAATTAAGATCAATCCCTTCGACCCGACAACAGAACAAAGGACAAAAAATGTTTTATGACTTACTATAGTATGACTTTTATGTTTTTTCATGCTATACTATGGAATTTTTCAATATTCATGTCAAAATATGCATCTGGGGGTTAATTGTATGTGTGAATGTGAGAGTGAATGTTTGTGTCTGTGTGTCAGAGACTCTTCCTCCTCATACGTCCTCCTTAACGTCTCTGAACAGACTGCAACAAACATCAAGTTTGGCAACCAGCTTTTTATTTATTTAGCTCTTTTAAATGTTGCTTCTAGCTGCAGTTTATTGCACATATTAAGACTAACCTTGAGGTAGTTGGTCCTCTCGTGCAGAAATGTGGACCGAACACCGTTTACAAAAAAAAGGACAGCCAAGAGAGAGAGAAAAAGTCACGCCTGAACAGTGGGACCACTTTTGTTTTGT